AATTGTTCCGAAAGTTTCTTCTATGGTTGTGGCGTCCTCTGTAACGATAGTTTTGGTTTGGATGATTATCTTCTCTTGTATTATTTCGAAAATGTCCAATTCGTCTTCTAGTTTAGTGATTCGATCCCGCATATGTTCTTTGTCGCGTTGTAATTGGTATTGCTGGTCGATTGCTTCACATCTTTGATCGTAAATCCGAAAATTAGCTTCTTCAAGATCAGTAATGCGTTCCCGTAATTTTTCCATATTTTTTTTTATCATCTGCACCTTGTTTTTGAAGTTTTTCTAGATTGCTTACAACACTGGTATGCTTTTGATTTAATTCTTTAAATTTCTTTTCATAGTGTACACTTTTAATTTTGAATTTAACTCTCTCGGAATTCACTCGGTCGTGCCTGAGTCTTACGTTATCTATGAATTCCTTGTTATATTCTAAGGTTGGAAAGAAGTCCATCAGTTCTATGGTATTAAGTTCCGCACAAGGAAACATTGACATAGCTTTCTGTTCTTTGAATTTTCTCATTCTTTCTGCGTCACGACGTAACTTGGATTTCGATTTAACCTTAACAACTTTCACGTCCGGTTGTCGGTGAAAATTACACATTTTGGCGTAATGTCCAAAACTTCTGCACTAATAGCAAAATGACGTTTTTGCTATACACTGTCTAAAATGAAATTGATTGTTCATAGTCTTTCCACAAAACTTACATAGGTAGTTGTCCATAGGTTGATATTTCTTGTCTGAAAGGTAGTTCCATGATCAGACATCTGGTATCTCCAGTCTCGGCCAAAATTTCTGGTTCTCTGCGTATCCATTTTTCTGTTTGCTGGGGGGTCAGCTTCACAGGTAGAACAAGGTATCCGATAGATGCGTTGCCCGGATGTCCTAACACCAGATATAGCCGGGTAAAATGGCGTTCCGGCTAAATGGAAATCAAGAAGGAATATTTCGCTCCTTAAACTTTTTTTTAGCAGTCCGGCAAGACCGAACAACAATCTCCAAACCAAATGTAAAGTAACATACAAACAATAACAATATATATAAGCACAAGCAATTAAAGAATTTAGAAGATTAACATATGCCAAATAGAAATAACAATAGATAAGAAGAGTAATTAATGTCCGACACGTATAAGTAAATTATTGTCTAAACTGTTACAGAGAATAAATAATTAAATGAATTATAGAGTAAATGAATTTAAGTCCTTTGTCCAAGATTATGACACATAATCCGTGTAAAACACTTATGCCTAAATTTACGACAAAGTTCAGAATAATAAAATAAATGCAAAACAAGAATATAATACATTAAAACAATTGAATTCATAAAATGTTGTTTAAAAACTAATTTCATTGCACAGTCCAAATTGTCCGGTCATACAATACTGGTTTAAGTCTTTGTGCAAGAGAATATGCTATAATTTTGGTATCTACATTTAATAAAGTAATTGGTCTATAATTGTCTAAATTTAACGGGTCATTTTTCTTGTAAATAAGGGTAATTAATCCTAGTTTCTGTGAATTTGTCAATTCTTTTTTCTTATAACAACGATTAAAGACATCTACAGCAAAATATTGTAAGTTGGACCAGAAAGATCTATAAAATTCAATTGGAAGACCATCAATACCCGGTGTATTGTCAAGTTTCATTTTAAAAACAGAATTTGTACATCCCTTTATTGTCAGCTTTCCTTCAATTTCATTACTTTCGTGTGTAGTTAATTTGCAGTTTATTTTTGTATTTTCAATATAATTCCCAATTTCTCCTAAATCTGGCTTAGTTGACGTATATAAATTTACATAATAATTCCTCCCCGTTTCTAATATTTTACCTTGATCCTCAGTTATTTCCCCTTCACTGTCCCTAATAGCAGTAATATTTTTTCTTGTCTGTCTCGATTTCTCTATCTTTCGCCTTCTTCTATCCATTTAACTCTTGATCTTATTTGTGCCCCTTTTATTTTATCAGAAGATAGAGTTTGTAGCATTTCTTCGGTTTTCTTTATTGAATCTATTATGTTCGGCAATTTTTTTTTCTTTTCATCAAGGTTGTTGTCCTGAATTTCATTCAAAAGTTTTAGTTCTTGTTCTAATTCTTTAATTTCATCTCTTTTATTTTTAGCTTTAATTTTACAATGTTCAGTAGCCGTCTCCTTTACCTCTATTTTAAACAGACCCCACACGATTGCTTAGCTTTTTCGGTTTCTTAATTTTTCATATTTATTTATTAAAGTGTTTATTTTCATTTTGTATGATTCGTCTTTAAGAATACTATTGTTTAAATTGAAATAACCCTTTCCTTTCTCCCCCTGACAATGATTTATCTAAAGTGAAATCGCCAGATGGTCTGTATATTGAATTGTAGCGGGTCTTATATCAGTGTGGAGTACCCTAGGTCTCACGTCTTGACTAACGAAAAAATAATCTAAAATAGCTACTTCATTATTTTTTCTTCTCCAGGTATATTGTGTTTTATTTGGATTTATTACTCTCCAGATGTCTATAACTTTTAGTTTTTTTATTAAACTTTTCAACGCATTTGTCTTATTTTTTATTTGTTGTTTATCTTTTCTACTAGTATTACTTTTTCTATCTTTTATATTAAGCGTTTCATTCATATCTCCCCCTATAATAATTACTAGAACACACCCGCGAAATTGCGGGCATTTAGAGAGCGTGGTTGAAAGTATGTAGACTATTGTAGGATGAATTTTTGTAAAAGATTTTATGACTGGAGAATTTCAGGAAAGGTATCAAAAGGCATAGGTACTTTTTTCCAAAGTCCGTTATTTTTGGTTTTCTGTTTTTCTGTATACTATGAACATACAACCCGCTGCAATTGTTTGCGCCTGTCCTAAGTCAGAAATCTGATGTTCAGTAGTTGTCGTTTGTTGATGTGGTTCATAAGTGTTTCTCGTTTCTCGTTTTTATATAGATTAGACCGTTGGTTTTCCCGTTTGAATGGTTTTACACTAGTAACTTTTGGGGGCCTTTATAGCTTGCTGTTCGGTGTGAGCCAAGGCTCCGTGTTGAAGACCGTACTTTGACCTATCATTGAATGGTTTACTTTTATGAATTTTGACATGGATGAAGAGTTGTCTCATTGGCACTCAAACCACATCTTCTTATATCTATATACTATAAATAAAGTGTATTTGCTATTTACTATCAATTCCAAGTTTACTATCCACGGTGGTCACTGATATATCATATAGAGACTCTCTTTATAATATATCAGCAGAGACATATATATGTCTCTGGTATCAGTGACCGCCGTGGATAGTAAACTTGGAATTAGTCTCTATATAATATATCAGTGACACCCGCGAAAGTATGTAAACTGTTGTAGGATGAATTTTTGTAAAAGATTTTATGGCTGGAGAATTTCAGGAAAGGTATCAAAAGTCATAGGTACTTGGTGACAGGACACTTTTTTTTTTTAGCCCTCTACCTTTTTTCCAAAGTCCGTAATTTTTGTGTTAACTGTTTTTCTGTATACTATGAACATACTAGTACATAAACCATAAATAAAGTGTATTTGCTATTTACTATCAATTCCAAATTTACTATCGTCACTATCCACGGCGGTTACTGATATCGTGATTACATAGAGACTCTCTATCAGTGATCGCCGTGGATAGTAAACTTGGAATTGATAGTAAATAGCAAATACACTTTATTTATAGTATATGTTTGATCATAGTATACAGAAAAACGCGAAAATAATGTCATGTCCCCAAGTACTTATGAAAATTATGTGTAATTATAAAACAGTCCTAAACGGAAGTCTTGTCTATGACTTAAAAGTCCGTCCGATGACGGAAACAATATCTGAACGCCTTTATTTTCGTTTTCCCCCCAAAATAACCCAAACGGAATAATCATAAGCGAGGATGACAAATGCGACTGTGCATGTTACCTATAGGACACAGATGCATGCTGATTAATTTTTTGTGGAAGGAAGAGAAGCGACACACAAAATGAGGTCTTCTCATTTAATAGTATAGATTTAATAGTATAGATACCAAGGCTATATTTTTCAATGACACTTAAAGCCTATAGTTTTTTAGGTTAAATTTATTCAGATTGGTCCACTTCATCTTTAGTGAAAGTATGAAAAAAAGTTTAATTGTGAAATTGTGATTTTTTTTCATGATAATAGCCCGAAAACGGGTAAAAATTGATGAAAAATGAGAAAATCAATAAAAACGGGTTACTTTCAAAAGGCCGTATCAAAAACAGAAGTGTACCACCATATGATTTTTTCTTCACCAATTACTTTTTTACAGTCATATAAACCCAAAAATCAGGTTACTTGAAAGAAAAAAAGTTTAATTCTAGAAATTGTTGGCTCCTCAGAGGTGTACATCCTTAATATACAATGGCAAATATTTCATTCTATTCACGACGAAAAGAACTTAATAATAAATGCAATGGTAGGATCTGCGAAATGGGTCGACATGACGAAGGCGGTAGCTTCAACTGCAACTAGAAAATAAGGGTATGTTGGATAGAAGCAGAAATTTTACCTTGAAAAAGGACACATACGAACCCCTCAAATAACTGTTGCAAGCTTTCTTTAACGTCCAGAAACGTCTTAGCATAGGTTTTACTGTCAGATTGATTCGCAATATTTTTTACACCAATCAACCTAAGAGTTATCTATAACAACAATGCTAAAGCTCAGTATTATTAGGATGATTTAATGTACAAAGGAATACTCTTTACTAAAATACTATTCCAACAATGTTCTCGTCTTGCGGGTATGATAAGCATAAAAGGAGATGCTGTCCATGTCAACGCATCTTATTTCTCTGTCTTAAGTTAATTTAGTCGATTCCGATTATGTTTACTCAAAATATTGTTTGTTTTATACAAAGATTAGATATATTAAAGCATCGGTATACTACCTTTAAATTTGAATGTGATATAGTTTTTATCATGAGATATTTCAAACATAATGTACACCATTTCAATAAAATCAAAATATTATTAATTAGGCCGGAATAAATCCAGAGCTCCTTACCCTTGTGTTGGAACCAGAGGCTGCAGCTGTATTTTGTAAATATGTAAAAATACAGAGGAGCGTAACTGAAAACGTGGCAAACCTGGAAGTTTTTGAACCGGGATCACAATTCGTAATCGTAGACCTTGGAGGTAAACGTTTTAAGCTCATTTCATGTCATTTTTCACTCACTAATAAGCATGTTAAGAAACTAACCCTGTCGTCGACTCGTTATATCAAAGGTGCTGAGATTTTAAAAATGTGTTATCCACGAGTAGAAATACATGAATGTTTAAGTGTCCTAAATTGAAAAGATGCCGAGTTTTATAAAATGCACCGTAATCCTTTTTTTCTTGTCAGTGATGATCGGAATAACAGATCATAATAATTTGAAGGAGACAAACTTTTATCGATTGAAAAGTTTTGAAAAACTAATACATTTGTAGGAGACAAGATTTTGTCAACTGAAATTTTTTTGAAGAACTAATACAGCTCATTACAATTATCAAAAATATAGTTCTATAGCTTAATCTTTTTTTTTTAAATCACATATCAAAAACAAAGTTATTTCATTTAAAAACAAAGTAATACTATATCTGTACATAGCCAATGGCTACCGGCTTATATTACCCTCAATGGCATTCAGGCTACCAGCGATAGCTTCGATACTGTGGTAGAAACGTATCATACATAATTACAGTTCAAACAATGCGCTTCTGGAATACCTTCGTTGAGAAGGCTCGAGACTACTTTAATTATTTCGATAGTCGATACATTATGTGCTTGATATCTTGCATGTACATCTTAAGACTTATAACAAAGGCCAAATGTAACATTCGAATTGGGGGGAAAAGTAGCTACAACGCTTTCTTTTTTTGTGAAATTGGCCTGTTTCATACCTTATTCATCTTATATTATTTCCTGGAGTGTTGTAGTTAATGATAATTTGTTCTAATTTGTTAATTTGTTTTTGTGTTGTCCGGAAAATCTTAGATATATTCCCTTTTATTATTAAATAGGTGGTACAGTAGATATAACATGTAACGAAGTTATTGAAACCGGACAACTCCGAGAGATTTACCATGCATCCGGGGGTCCATGGGGTGGAAACATGATTAACCTAAGAATATGGAAACTTATCCGATCTATAATTGACACTGCTTCCTTTGATGCATATATGGAAGAGAACACATATTCAAAATTGAGCCTTTTGAAAGAAATAGAAGAAGAGAAAATGAAAATAAAACCAAATGAGCAAGCTGCTTTTAAACTTCCATCATATTTGTCTAACACAAAAATTAAATATAAAGGAGCAGAAATAATAAAGGATAAAATTCATATTAATCCTGACGTCATTTCGAAAGTATTTGAATATGCCACAGAGCAAGTGTGCAATCATCTTTCAAAGGTTTTAGCAAGAGATGAAACACGGAGTGTTAAAGCTCTGTTGCTTGTTGGTGGATACGCATCCTCTGAAATTTTAAAGGAAACAATAAAAAAGAGGTTTAATAAATATAACATAATTTTTCCCTTCACACCTGAATTGATAGTTTTGAAAGGTGCAGTTATCATGGGTCATGAGAGTCGGCCTATTATTGGTCGCTTGGCCCGTTTTCATTATGGCTTGGCAGTACCCAACGGATTGAGAATTATTCAGAAAAAGGGAACAACTCATCTGCACACAGAATTTTATCAAGAACTAACTTTCCTTCCACTCATATCTAAAGGAACCCCAATACGTATCGGCGAAGAAGTAGCACAGTACAGTTTCATTGTTACGAGTGAAGAGCTGACAGACGTTCAAATTGGAATTTTAATTTGCGAAGATGACAAAGCTCCGAGCAGTATTGCAGAAAACAGCTGTACCCAAATTGGACAAATTGAGGCTAAAATTCCAGCACTAAGTAAATTGACAGAAATGACGATAATCATATCATGTGATGAAACAGAGTTTAAGGTAACAGCTGTTATAGACGAACTCGGGCATAGATTTTCAGCACGCTGTTCATTTTTGCATTAATTTTCTTATACTGAACATTCTGTGCAGATAAAGGAACAGTGTAGAAATAACCGTTTCATTTCACCAAATTAAGAGTCTTTTCTTGTAAATCATTAAATAGGTACAAGTAGCTTGTTGTGAAAATAAACAATTTCCAACTACTAATACACAAAGGTTATCCGTGTTTAAATGGTTCGTATTTCTAGTTTATTTATTGATTCAAATAACAATAATAAATGTGCTTTAAATGAAAGAGGTGCGTTTATGTCCTTTTCGGCCTACGAAAATAAAGTGTTACAAACTCAGATAATATTGTGATAAATTTACAGCATATTTTCACACATATTTGCTTACTTGGAAATATTGAGCACATGTAAGAACGCATAGAATAGCATAAAACTTGATGCCACAACTTCGTTTGATGTAACGTTATGGACCTTAAACTACTCGTTTTTATTTTAACATTACCTCAAAATTAAAACAAACATAAATGACCAAATATTGACTTATTGCACCGTGTCTATTAAACAATAAGTAATAAGGAAAGAGTGTGTATGATCAGGCCATGTTTTATCCCCTAGAATTCGAAAATTAAATCGTTGACATTAAAACATTTCCATCATATATCATCCTTCCGATGTTAAAAAGACTTGTCTGTCCGGAAATATAGTTTCGCATTTTGCCTTACATATTTGCAGAGGGACTTCGCATTTTTTCTTTTAATACAAAACTACAGAAACTGCAAAAAAATATCCTCATATTAAGATGTTGTATTGAAAATGTTGACAACTTTATTATACAACTGTGATTTTTATAACCACCCAGTAGAAATTTCACACATATTCAGGACGAGAAATAACCAACAATACATCCAGTGGGTGGGTTCTATAAAATGGGTCGACCAGACTAAAAGCCAGGTAATTAGGATTACAACAGATAAAAGAGGATATAATAGATAGGGATAGAAACATTGTCCTGCAACAGGCCACCTACGAAACCCTGAGAGTTGTTAGAATTGTACTTTTACGTGCATAGAGCATGACACTTTCTCTACACGCGCCAACAGATTTAACGTCCATGCCATTCTGTCCGAACGTGTCTGGTCCATGTCTATAAAAGAATACGTAAAAATGAAAGAGTGGTTATGAAAAGCCCTTTTTCCTCCTTGTTCGAAAATTAAATCTTTTAACATATCGATCATATATCATCTTTCAGATGTTCACAAGACATGTCTGTCGGGAAATATAGTTTTGAATTTTGTCTAACATTTTTGCTGAGGGACATTACATTATTTTTTTTTAATACAAAACTGCAGAAACTGCATAAAACAGCCTCATATTGAGATGGTTGTAATGAAAATTTTGACTTATTATGTAGGAAACAGTAACTGTGTGAAATAACTTGTACTATATTACTTGTAATGATTGTAGTCTGAAACATATTCATAATTGAAACAAATAAGTTTTAATTAACATTTAATTAAGTAAAGTTGGAACAATTACAATATTATGATTTTCTAGAAATATTGAATTACTGTCATTTGAATATTTGATAAACTATTTGAAGTTCATGTTATAATTTACCAGTTCATAGTAATAATCCAACTGGATGTCTTGTATTTTTGTGATGATCCAATTGTAGCAACTGTACTAGTAGATCGTAGTAAATCTCGTAGTAAATCCACGCACCTTGCTTGAATTTTATGAATGAAATGTACTGACATGCGCAGTGGAACCCATGTGTCCCTTGGGACGATGTTTCAATAAAAACACTATTTTTACGTTTCGGCAACTGTTTTCAAATACTCTTTGTAATTCCTTTTAGTATTTGTAGTCAACGTCTTCAATGTTTTGTAGATGTTAATGCTCGCTATCCTTGATATTTGTCATTTTGGTTCGCCGGTGACACACATAACTTTTGGCAATGTTGTTTACGTATTGTGACTTCCGGTGAAGTTTTATTGGTGTATTTTTAGCTACTATAGAAATTTGTTTAGTACCATGTAAAATTTGTTTATTATATGACTGTTACTAAAATTGTATATTATTATGATTTTTGTAATTTATTTGAGATTTCAAATATTTCGTTGGACAGCAAGCGCGCGATCCAACAATTTTCCAACTTTGCCAACAATCCAACATTGACGTAATTTCGACGCTTGTTCGTCAGTTCTGCTTAAATCTTTGGTCGTTACAGTTAGTATTTTATTTCGCTCATCAGTAATTTTTGTCAAAATGGTTAATTTTTCTCACAAACTTCATTTTTTTTGGGGGTTAAATTGTAAAGGAAAATAGTAAATTTAGCGTTTTCTAAGTTAGAAAGGAATATTTCATTTTTAGCGGACTCTTAGGAGCCGGACTCCTACATTTTTGATCTTTTGCTTAAAGTATTTTATTCTTTTAGTAAATTTAGGAAAGTTCTTAAAACTGTTTTAAAATATCTTTTGGGTTAATTATTGTATTATTGCTGGCAAAGCTTAATTTCAAGTTTATCTTTTAAAGTAAGAATTAATGTTATTGTACATTTAAATTTAAAATTGTAATTCACATTTACTGTTAACGTTTGTCTTATTTTTTTAATAAATACAATTAAATAGGAAAACATTTGGCAATTAAGGGATAATTTCCTAAAGGTCTGGAAATTATAATAAACAAAACAGTTTATGTAAGGTATAAACTGTATTTCATTGTTAGTTTTTATTCAGGAAAGGTTCTGAATATAACTAATAATAATAAACATTTTTTTATGTAACTGGTGAGGTATCAGTTATTACTATATACAAAAATGTCAGAAAAAGGTATTCTGACTAAATTCACTTGAAATTAGTATTTTCTGTAAGGGTAATTTATTTTCTTGGTAATATAGCAGGACTCAGCCTTTTATGTATTTTTCTAACATACCAACATACAATTATATTGGTAATAGCAAGTGTTATATTTTTTTTAAAATTGCACGGACAAAGTTATCCTGCAATCATAAAGATTTTATTAATCATCTCTTGAGTGTAGAGATAAATTATTACATGTATACTGAATAGATTCTTGTCATATCATTTAAGAGTCTATAATTTAATTATCTTATTACTTAAAATTGTTGTTTATCCTGAATATTAATGAAAATCTCTGATTCTCAAAATGAATAAAATATAGAAACTTATATATGTTACTTTTAACAAATGCCTATATTATACTGACCAGATCATATCTTGTCATACTGACTTAGCAATTTCCAAAATACTCATAATTTTGAGTAAAACTTTTGGGTCAAGCATTTCAAGCCCCTGCCCGCTACAATATAATGGATAGGGATAGAATCATTGTCCTGCAACAGGCCAACTACGAACCCCTGAGAGTTGTTGGAATTGTACTTTTACTTGCATAGAGCATGACACTCACTCTACACGCGCTAACGGTTTCACGTCCATGCCATTCTGACCGAATGTGTCTTATCCGAAATATAAAATCCTCCCAATCGGCAAGGATTTAACCGCATATTGCAGTATACAAATAAATGGAACTATTCTAAGAAGGTAACACGGGGGCAAACATAACCCTACGTCGAATAAAGCAGACAGACAAAAGTCCACAAAACATTACAAATAATACTAACGATTGCATAAAACGAACCCAACTAAACCCGGTGCTGAATTCAGGTGCTCCGAAAAGATAATCCTGCTCTATAAGTGACACCCTTCGAGTTGGTCCTGGCAAATAAAAATATGTCAGTCGCGTTCGGTGATGCCATAAGGTTAGAAATGGAAAACAGAATTATGGCTACGACAAGTTGAACATATTCGTCGAAAGTTGATTTGTCATACGACCGTTAATCAGATTTCTAGATGCAAGTCTTGATTTGAAGCAGACTTTATCCTTATTTCAATTTCAATCGGGTAGATGCAATTAACATAGTCACCAAACTCTAAAAATGATTTATGAGAGAATCAGCTAAGGGATACTGCTAGCTACTTTCCATTCTTCTTGAAAAGCCTTTGTTTGAAGCCAGCCACATATGAATAAAGGAACAAGTCGGCGACTATAGGAATGCCAACTGTCTGTTGAAAAACACAAATACCAAACGTAAAACATATGTTGTCAATAAGAATTAGAGAATCTTCATGATGCTAGTTTCTCACGACTTCAAGTTTTAATCTGAGTGGTGTTTTTTTTGACAAATTCTTATGTGTTCCTTTTTAAAAAGAGTTATGTGTGTATTTACTGACCCCAATAGATGAAACAAATTATCTTTCGGCAGAATGAGAAAAGTCAATGTTTAGAAGAAAATTTCTACGTTGTAGATTTTTTTCTTTTCTATCACTTTTTTGTTAGTCAAATTTTTAATGAGGCAGTCGCTGTCTCAGTGGAAGCTACGACGCTGGTTACTGTATATCATATTTGTATTTCGTTTATTGTTTTTTAACATAAACCAGGCCATTAGTTTTCTCATTTGAAATGTTTTAAATTGTCATGTCTATATAAGTTCTACGTCGTTTGGTATCTGGTGGAATCATTTCACATCTTTTGAGCTTCTACGTCGTTTGGTTGTCTCATTGGCAATCATACCACATCGCCTTATTTTTATAAAGAAAATTTGTATCTTCTGTTTTGAAAAACAATGTTATAGTACACAGCAGGATTCAAACTCAAATTGCATTTTATATGTTATCGTCCCCAATATGCATTTGATTTGCCACTGGACGTCAAAAAGCCATACATCAAAATTATCATGTTGCTTAGTCCTTAGTTATTCGTTTACCTCATTTCATCAGTTATTTATTGTTAAGTTACTTTAGTAAGTAATCAGCAAGATTCAAAAGAAAGGTAACACGATGGTCTCGTGTGGCCATGTCACACTAAAGGCTTGGTATTTGATATTTGCTGCTTCTCCGATAATCACTCGGCGTTTAGGAGTAGACTCGAAGTTAAATGTATGTTTCCGGATTGGATTAAATTTTTCACGTAAACTATAATAATTCCTTATGAACTGGGACTATTATACTAACACAGTAGTATAATAGTCCCAGTTATGAACTAGCACTTTGAAAATCTACCTCTGCATGTCGGTTTTGTACTTAACAGGCCCACTATTCATATTAACATGCTCTCGTATTGACATGCCTGTTATATTTGCCACTGAAAGTAAAACTCCAATCCATTCACATATGAAAGATATTTTAGAGTCGGAAATTTCATATGTGAATTTAATTTGCTGATGGGAAACAAATCATATCAACATCTTGATCTAAACCTCTGTCATGGTTCCGTTTCATCAGTGATGTTGACATGAAATGGATTGAATCCCAACAAAAACTGGATGATTTTATCAAACATGCAAACAACGCTCACCAGTGAAATTTCAGACTCTAAAATATCTTTCTTGGACACAACTACATCCATAAAGGACGGTGTCATATCAACAGACCTCTACTGTAAAACTACAGATAAACATCAGTATCTTTCTCCCAAAAGCTGTCACCCCAAACACTGTACAAAAAATATCCCGTACAGTCAAGCTCTCAGAGTAAAGCGGATTTGCTCCTCTGATGAGGCTGTCACTAAATGGTTACAGGAACTTCGCGGATTTTTTACCAAACGAGGTTATAAGAAATGGGACATAGATAAGGGGTTTGCGCGTGCTAACAATAACAGCCGCAATGACCTGTTACAGTACAAACAGAAGAGGCAAAGCGAAATAGTTCCGGTTGTTTTAACATACAATACCGCCTTTACTAACCTTTACCGTTTGATCCGTGCCAACTGGCAGAATACTGCCAAACACCCAAAATTTTCCAAGATCGTTCCCAAACCTCCTGTCTTAGCTTTTCGGAGACCAGCAAGTCTGAAAGACGTATTTGCGAGAGCTGATGTCTCCTCTAATAAAAGCTCTTCAACTGCAGGATGGTGCAAGTCGTGTGGTAACAGACGATGTCTGAACTGCCAAAAAATACTGAACACTAAAACATTTACTTGCCACTCCACTGGGTCCGTATACACTATATATTGCAATGTAACTTGCAAAACCCAGAATGTTGTATACCTTCTTCAGTGTCGATGTGGCATGCAGTATGTTGGCGAGACAGAACAGCCATTCAACAAACGCATGAATGGTCATCGAAGTGACTACACCTGCAAGCCCGACCTCCCCCTAAGTCGTCATTTGAGATCACCTTGGCACGCCCAAGCTGATCTCAAAAACCTTACCATCACTATCATAGACCACAACGAGGGTTGGTTAAGGGCCGACAGACTTGCTCGGGAAAGTTTTTGGATAAGGAAGTTAAGGACAGTTTCCCCAGAGGGCATTAATGAAAAAACATAGAATGAGTCCCTACCATCACTTGTTTTCAGTAACTCAGGCTTCAGTACATGACTCTTACAGTTTTAAGGAATTTATTCCTCCTTCCAAACATCAATATTGAAAAAATTTACCAGCGTATTGATTCGTGATCATTTGTATAACGATCAAGATTGCTATTACAGTGTGACTATCACATGTCAAGATAAGAATCATTTGACATCTTACTGATGAAGGATATTAGTTCTCCGAAATATTTAACATTTTTTCATGATTTTATTTTTATTTATTTTTTTGGTGATCTTGTACCCTTTTAGACTTGCTTATTATATATATATAGATTATAACATGGCATTTTTCATATCAGACCCCTTATCAGCCCCCTTATCAGCCCTAGGTCATGATATCAGCCCGAGAGCCGACAGTCTCGAGGGATGATTTTGACCATGGGCTGATAAGGGGTCTGATATGAAAAATGACATGTTATGTTCTTTTTATCATATACTTCAGCAGAAGACATATAGACAAGAACTATTTTTTTAAACTTTGAAAAATGCATTTATTGTATTATTTGTTTTACATTTTTTTTAAATAATATATTTTCCACTTTGTTAGGTTTTTCACTAAAAACGTACTATTGAGGTGTATTTTTTAATTTGCCGAGTGACGTAGAAATGCCATGCGATAACGTTACCATAGTTACAGAAAGGCATGCGATAATAACCGGAAGCAGTTGATAACGGAAGTCATATAACACGGCTAAGACTAATGAATAAATATATGTTCAGATTAGTGTTTTATCAAGGGGTACAATTCTGCCATTATTTTCTATAAGTATATGATTGTTGTTACATCTGGTGATCCGTTTATTTGGCAATCGCCATGTCAATGCACACGTATATAAATTGCGGTTTTTATCCAACGCAATCTTAGGTTTGAACGTTGTTTTCAATTTAGACTCATTCATATATATATAATCTTAATTATTAATTTAATACTAAACAGAAAACAATAAACTTGCGGAAAAGATGGTATACTGCAAACATGAGGTGCAAAAATTGGTACACCATATCCGAATTTCGACAATTAATGCCTCTTCAGTGATGTTATGAATCGAAAAGGTATTTGGAAGGCCATATAATTTACCTCAATTTATGATAGACTCTTGAATTTTGAAGAGTCGAAATATATGAACGGATTATATAAACCCGAAGGCAAATATAATACAAGCCCAAACGAAAAAATATAAACAAGTCTAAATTGAAAACAACGTTTAAACCTATGATTGCGTTGGATAAAAACCGCAATTTTTATACGTGTGCACGCAAAACAAATTTCTTGGTAGAGGGATCTAAATACAGCACAAACAACATTTTCCAAAAGACCAAAAAAGTGAAAAAGTATATATTAACAAATCGCCTTTTTTTAGCAGGTCGAACAACGGATGTTCTTAAACCCTGCTGACTGTCATGGCGATTGCCAAATAAACGGATCACCAGATGTAACAAAATGGATCTTAATTATTCATTTAATACCAAACAGAAAACAATAAACTTGCGGAAAAGATGGTATACCGCAAACATGAGGTGCAAAAATTGGTACACCATATCCGGATTTCGACAATTAATGTCTCTTCAGTGATGTTAGGAATCGAAAAGGTATTTGGAAGGCCATATAATTTACCTCAATTTAGGATAGACTCTTGAATTTTGAAGAGTCGAAATAGGATGAACGGATTATATAAACCCGAAGGCAAATATAATACAAGCCCAAACGAAAAAGTATAAACAAGTCTAAATTGAAAACAACGTTCAAACCTATGATTGCGTTGGATAAAAACCGCATTTTTTATACGTATATATATA